ATCGAGGAGGCGGGGTCCAGCTATCGAGGAGGCGGGGTCCGGCGATCGAGGAGGCGGGGTCCGGCGATCGAGGAGGCGGGGTCCTGTGACGGAGGAGTTGATCGTGGAGTAGAAGGAGGCAGACAGAGGATCAGGGCTGACAGGTAAGAGGGCTTGACCGCCCGCCAGAGACCCTTCAGAGCCCACCATAGAGAGTCTATGGTGGGCTCTGCAGGGTCACCCTCAAGTGGGCTGTTTGCGTTATCAGGTGGGCGTAACTAGAAATCACAGGGCCCCATACAAAATTTTGCTATGGGGCCCTGTGATTTCTAGTTATGCCCCTGATCACACGGTTACATTTTTGGGGGGGAATGAGTGGTGGCTTATTCATATGTAAATAGCGCCACTCATTCATATGTAAATATCACAGTTGAGACAATTTTCAATGGGGGGCCAGTAACCCCCATGTTAATTTTGGTTGCCCCTATCTGCCTGACATCTTGTGTCCGTGTTTCTGCTGCCATGAAACCCAGACACAGCATTCAAAAGCCGAACTGTCCGGGTGAATCCTGGACAGCTGGCAACCCTAGTTTTAACTAAGCTGTTTATCTGCTTAGAGACATCACATTTTAGAAGAGTAGGAATAAACAGCCTTTTTAGACCTTTTCTTTCCACAGCATACTTCTGCATGTGCGTTGTTGGCAGGGGCTGATGAGCAATGTGGGAGAGAGGGAAAGTGAATCATGACCTGACAACCTGGAATTGGAGAATCTGCCTGCAGTAAACACTCCACGCCCAAGAGTGCCAGGGGCACAGTGAGAACAGTTTGCACGAAACCAGAGCCATCTGCAGCCATCTTCCTGTGTTGTTTCCCAACAATACTGTTTCCAAACTTGGGGGCTCATTTACTAAAGAGTCAATTCAAGAGGGGTAGTGGCCCATGCTAACTCCAGATCCCAGATTCCTCTGAACTCGACTGGGTATTGGAAATCAAAAAGTGCTAGTTTAAAAATTACTCCTTTTGTGTTCAAACCTCTAAATTTGGTGACAGGTTCTCTTTAACGTAAGAGTTAGGTCATCAAACAAAATGTACAAAATGATTATCTAAACCACCTGTTAAAAATATATTTTTGTACAGTACATTTCCAAAAATGTATACAGACACGACGGGGGTTGTTTATCAAGCAAACTAGCGACACAATTAGTCAGTGACACAAATCGGGCTTTCTCTCCTTCAGCAAAGACTTAAGATGCCCATACACCTTGCGATTATCGTACGATTGTCGGCGGGTTTGTGGCCTGCTCGTAAGACAAATGCCAAACAGGTCGGTGTGCGCAAGCGCACACTGCCCGTTCAGCATTGCAGTCATCGGAGGCCCGCTCCTCGGCGGGGTGAGCTTTCGATGATCGCAAGTACGATCTGCCTGTCCAAGATGGGCAGATTGTACGAGCTTTTAATTAGCTTACAACCATCGCAAGACAAAAGTCTTGCGATGGTTGTAAGGTATATGGGCACCTTTAGGAACAGGTTTACAGACCTGTGCATCTGTATTCATGGGCAGCAAATGTGTGACAGTCTGCAAAGTTCTGAGACAGATTTACTCTTTACTCTTGAAGATGCAACCGATTTTCACTCTAAACAGATGCATAATTAGGCCACCACCTAAAACTGGTGGAGAAAAGATTTAACCACAAGGGGCGTAGGGGCTTTTTTTCAGTTAATACGGTTAAAATCTGGAACTCGCTGCCACAAACAGTGGTATCCTCAAAGAATATTGAATCATTCAAAAAGCATTTAGATACCTTCCTCAGAGACCACAACATACAGGGGTACAGGTACTCTTAAGAACTAAACCACAAAGGGACTTGTATACACACATGCACAATCACATACAGACAAACAAAGGTTGAACTTGATGGACCAGTGTCTTTATTCAACCTTAAATACTATGTAACTATAATTACAAAGTGGTCGGGGGTCAGGTTTTATTCAGTCACAGTACAACTTTAGAGCAGCGAAGGGCGGAGTTTATGGCTCAAGTTGTAACCTTGCAGTACATCTGTCCCACAATCTCTCTAACTGCTCCTGTTTAGCATTGCTTTGATATGCAACAGAATTGACAAATGCCCCAAGTAAATTTGAGATTAAGCTCTGACAGGGAGGATATGTTTTCCAGCTTAAACTGTCATTTCTGAACGTCACTGGAAGCCACTTCAACCTGATGTGGGTGATGACATAGCACCATACATCCAGGGCAGCCATCAGAAATTTTGGGGCCCATTACACGGCTTTAGGCCGGGCCCCCCCTCACCGCGCCGCTGGACGCCGTGCTTAGTGACGCGCTGGACGCAGGGCTTAGTAACACGCTGGACACAGGACCCACCTGAGAGTGACCCTGCAGAGCCACCCATAGATGCGGCACAGCCCATCTCAGACTGTCTATGGTGGGCTCTGAAGGGGTCTCAGGTTGGCTGGTCAGGGCTGCATCCTTCCCCTCCCTCCTTTCCTTCCTTCCTTCCTAGCTCCTCTTACTTGCACACGTGGCCTCGTCTGCCGCCGGACCGGCCAGAAGTGACGTCACTAACATGAGGTCACTTCCGGCCAGTCCGACATCAGACGAGCAGCTTCGCTGATGGGGCCCTAGCTTGTCTCAAAGCCGCTGGAGCAGCAATGCTGGGGCCCTGCGCTGCTAGGGCCAGGCCTCCTCGCCCTTCACCATCGGCCGATAGTCATGTAAGGGACCCGGGTGGGCCCCCCATGCTGCCCGGGCCCCTTACATGAGTATCGGCCGTACCCCCCTGATGGCTGCCCTGCATACATCATATTACAAATCACAATAAGAGCTCCTGTTGATGGGTGCCCTTTTTAAAAGCTGTGTTTGCTATTCAAACCCAAACATATTAATAGAACATGTTGCTTGTAAACAGTGCAAAGCAAGGCAGGCCAAACTCAGCTTTTGAACTCCTATGTGTACTGCTCAGTTGAAGTCAACAGGAGTTTAATGACCTGCATTATACATGTGTTCCAACCACACATTAAATGCAGGAAACAATGCCCATCAACATGAGTGCTAAAAGTAGATGGAGAAATATCACATGTTTAATGAATAGCAGGCTTAAACTGGAAATTAATGAAATGCTACAACGTTTTAAAGAAAGCTTAAAGGTGCTCTGGTACTTTGAACTCTAAAAACATGGTGCAAGCCAGACTTCCCCACCATCTATACCTGATGTGATGTAGAAAAATATGATAAGCATACTGACCCACATAAAAAAACCAAACAGGGCTATTCACTACAGGATGAAGAGTTTGGAGAAGGCAGGAGAAGTGAACTATCTAGGACAACATAGCTGAATTGGAAAGTGAGCTGAATTGGAAAATGTTTCCAAATCAGCTATGTTGTCCTAGATTGTTCACTTCTCCTGCCTTCCCCAAACTCTTCACCCTGTAGTGAAGAACCTTGAAAGTAATCTGTTGGTAAGGCCTTCCCAAGTACATCCTCTCATGTTGGAACTCTGCAATTCTTTGCAGAGTCATCTTTGAACATTAATCCATGCAGTACTAAACACTATACCTTCCACTATATACTCTATACCTTCACACGACCATTCATTTTTGGGGTCCACAAGGTAATAGAAATTCAGTTCTGTTAGAACAAAGATTTTTTTAGTTGCTCAAAACAATGACAAACTTACATCAAGAGTCCCACTAATGTGGTACCCTGTTACTTGTGTTTGCAATAAAGCAAAATGTGAGCTCCTTTACACACTACAACAGTGTTATACTAAAACTAATTGTTTTGCTGTTGAAATGAAAGACTGCATAAATACATTAATCTATCCGTAACAGTAATTTATGAAGAGTGTTACATACCATTGCTTGAGCATTTTCATTACTGATGTTAGTGTTGTACTCCCATTGTGCCAGCGCATACTGATGATAAAGCTGTTCTCCAACGTTTTGAAACTCTTGTAAGAATACCCTGGCATCGCTGGTTACATCTTGAGTGGAAGACCCAAACAGAGCCAATGTGCAGAGAAGCCACAGAGGAACCCACATCTTCTTCCCTGAGCGAGACAACCCCAACTGACCAACGATCCTTTCACTCAGTGCTGCTGAACATCAGTGTGTGCTTCCAGCCTTTGTACCACACTGCCAAAGGTTTTTTTTTACAGCAATTCAGGAAGTGTTTGTGTTGTTTGGATAAGATGCTTTATTATCATGATACTGCTCAGTGTCCTCGCTATCACTGGTAGGAGGCAAGGAGGGCAGATTTTTATATTTCACAAGGAAATTACCTGATAATAAAATCAAATGGTATCTATCTATGAGAGACTGTCTTTCCTGTGTATACCATCAACAGTTCTGCTTGATAACAGTTAACTATTAGACGTTTTGTTGGTATTTGGAAGAATATTTTTAGAGTAATGTTTTCAGTCAAAATGTTTTCTTACAAAAAGTTGAAAGAATTCTATTTAAAGGTCTGTATGCAGCTCTCTCCATTACTATTATTGTACTTAGTTATTACTCCTATTCCAGTATTAACTCTTACTAAACATATATACGGTAAACTTTCTTACTAGGCACTTTGTTTTTACAGAACTCACGGTCAGAAAAGTTTTAACTTAGAGAAAGATTTCAGCAGTAAATGAGGGAGTGAAGTTGGAGCTCTGTCCTCATATAGCACAGGACTCTGGAAAATGTGTGCCGAACCAAAGACCCAATTGTGTATGTGTATCACATTCCATGGTCACATGATCCCCCCCCCCTGTAACAGGGCCTCAATTTTTATACCGGGCAAGTGAGCCAATTTCCTGGGGGGATGAACAGGATTATGAAATAGACACAAATGTTTTATTATAGAGATGAAAATTCGAGCAGTATTTTTTCTTCCTGAAACCTGCATTAGTTCATTTGAAATGAGTACTAGTACGGGCATTTGACCATACAATTTTGGCATTTTTTGCAGAAAAGAGAAAGATGTCATTATATAGGACCTGTCAGCTTCACACAGCCACATATCAAATAGCCATAATGTCAGAAAGCACTGGCCCAATGCCACGACACCACATGATATGGAACATCCTTTTTGTGTGCCTCGGTGTCACTCATGTATTATTACTTTGTGTGGGGAAGCCTGAAAGAACATTCACTCATGGAAGGACTCGTTGAGGACTTCCTCCCTCACAGAAATAATAGGAACAAACTACTGATCCACTGATGAAAACACTGGTGTATTTAAATTAAGGAACTTGGCGCATTTCCGAACTAAAGATCTTTCTTTACCCCCCGATAATGCCATCAGACACTTGAAGAATATCAAACTAAATTTTGTTTTATTTTAACATTCGATTTTGGGATGAATGGAGTTTCCTGAACGAAAACCACATTCACTGTTTTCACTGAATTTCGCTCATTCGATAAAAACCTTCCATCCTGCTCCTTCGACTTTTTTCGTCACTATGGTCGGAATCGATGATAGATTTGACCCCCATCAACTAATGTCCAAGGAAAGATGTTTTGTACGAAAGTTCTTTAGAAAATCTACCAGTGTATAGCCAGCTTAAGTCTTTAGTAAGACTTTTTCTGCAGGTACACATAGACCTGTGATGACAATCTGAAATTCCCATCTGTCTGGGTGCTGAGTGCCTGCTGACAGGGCTGGTTTGTGGCTATCAGAGGGGACAGCTAAATGGACAGACTAGAATTCTTGTTTTAATCACTTCTGCTTACATCTGCTAAATTAGATCTGATCCCTTTCTATCTGCTACCTGCCCCCTCATTTTTATTCACAAGCAATGAAGAAGCAGAGGTTGGTTGGACATGTGTTGAGCAGTCTGCATCACTCTGCTTCTATTGCTTAGGTTGACTGTTATGTTGTTGCTTTTACCAATTATTCAATAGTATCCAGTAGATCGTGTATTAATCAGCATTTTATTTTCTCCCAAACATCAGT